TGCCACTAGGTGACTCAGAATTTTTGAGTGTTTAAAATGGTTGATATGTGGGCAAAAATAAAGTCATTTTCTTGGTAAGGGTTACCTTACTTTGGGACCCCGTAAATAAATTTAAGATATCATCTTTTGCAAAAGCAATGACATGTTTGTAAAGTACACAGTATAAGCTTTTTAACGATACCTTACGCGTTGTTATTTGTTGAATAGTAATTTTTTATGAATTCTTTAAATTTGACCTTATACCGGAACATATAGTCTCCTTATACCATTTGGTGAGACATACACGACATCATATCCCAGCGAGTCTTCATTAGGTGAAAAGACGTCTTTTGGGCTCTCTAAATAGCATCTTTCTGCACCTTTACAAGACTACGCAGAGGAAATTCAACAAACAGGTCGGGTTGAGAAGGTGATCAAGCAACTTCAGAATGCATTTTTTTACCATGATACAACTGCTTGTGCGCAGTCTCCATACTGAGTGTTTAATGTACTCCGAGGTTCCAATGCTGCATTAACCAGATAGAAGACGGTGTAAAGAGTACTTTGGTACCAAATCTTGTCACAATCCGTCGACTTAGTAATGAGCTATGACGTCATTTAAGGTCAAAATTCCCACGTTAATAACAGCTATTTTTTTTGTACTGGACACTCAGAAAATTAGTCAGTAATGTAGCCCTCTGAGTAACCTACTTACATCCTCTTAGAGTTATTAAGAGTAAAAGTTTTTTCCAATATGGCGGACCAAAACTACTAGCTACCACTGCGTTTGTAGGCCTTTTACATCACAAACGTTGACCTTTAATATCCCCTAAGGGATTTAATTTTTTGGCTTCAAACTTACATGGTAGATTTTAACACTCAGGGGCTGTCTTTTGATGCATAGGAGGGGCCCTCCGATTTGTTTTTCTTTTAGAGTGTGCTGAACGTCCATAAGAAGGCGACTAGCGCAATGACTAGTTAGCACCCTATTTAGGTCAAACGTTGGAAAATAGTGCATTAGCATGATGACGTCACACGCGCCATGCATTATGATTGTAGTAGTGAAGAGGTTTTAAAAATGACGTCCAGAAGTAGCGAAGCTGGAGGATTTACTTGCTGTGTTCCGGGCTGCTACAACAATTCGGAGAAACATAAAGGGAAGTTTTCATTTTATAATTTCCCAGGTGACCAAAATTTAAGAAGGCAATGGCTTCATAACATCTCCAGGAAAGATTTTCGTCCAACTACGGGTCATCGTGTGAGCCGTGCTCACTTCGAAAGTGCTTTACTTAAAATGCGACTCAAAGTTGAAAGACCCTCACTTCAATTAATAAATCTTAATCTACTATGAATTAAAGGAAACAAAAACTGAACTTTCTGAGGCCCTCCCATTTCAATCACTATTTGGCTGGTTTGTATTATCGTCCGGTGGCCGGACCAAGGACCTACTACGCAAAATTTACTTTGGAATATTATCTAAAATTTTGATTTTTAAAATTCATCCTGTTAGCCGAATTTTTTTGCAACTCGAAAGAACATTTCTTGTACACCATGTACACCAAAAATAAGCTTTCTTAACGCACTTAATCAGATATCCGTGAATTCAAAATATATCCAAGTAATTTAAGGCGCCATGAAAAAAACAAAAATTACAGAAAATTCACCGACGTTCGCGTTAACTTGATTTTCCCCTTTCCTAGCATCAAGAGAACCTCGAATTGACCTTAAGAAGGCAAACAGATCAATAAACACTCGGAAAGTTTCGCTTGCAAAACCGGCCGGACCAAGGATCACATACTGCACTTTAGCTGATTTTAGAAGATACCTTAACAGAAGTGTTGGACATTTTACAGGCTTTAGTTCGCCTCAGGCGCACCCAAGCACACCAAAAGGCAAAAGAATATTCTGCAGCCCTAGACAAAGTGGGAGCAAGGTGTGACGCTCTGAGTTCCTCCGACTTGCAGCGTTTGTTGTTCGGGCCGTTCGGAGAGCCTGTTACAGCAAATATCGCTGGGGAAGCCGCTTCGATCCTGAAGTCTACATACAAGGCGCCCGATCGTTGGGATTCCTTTGGGCGAGGACCATGTTTCAAGTGTGGCCGCGTGGGCCATTTTGCACGCACATATAGGGCCACTCAGACGCCTTTTCCGTACAGACGGGGGCGTGGAGCTCTTAGTCATGGGGGGCGAAGAAACCCTCCCTGATTAACTCCTTTCATGTTTGATTTGCCAGATTTTGAGGGCTTGTGATTTCATCTTTTGTTGGTAAATTAAACATTTTGCTTGTGCAAGTCTTGTCGATTTTTTTTAAAAAAGCTCTTGCTGCAATTTACCCGTAGGGACCTGTGCATCTCTGTTCTTGACCTGGTTCGGATTCTGGGGTCAACGAGGGGTTGTTTTCCCTGTCTGTTTTGGCCTAGCTTTACAGCTTTTCCTTTTTACTCCCTCTTTTAGACGCATCATTCTCGGTTCGCCTTGCAGATCTTGCAGGCTCGGGACTCGTACTTACAGTTTAGCGGATTTGTCCCTCTTCGCCCTTTGGCACAGGGCATCCAGCCCTTCGTTGGCCCCCTGGCCTCTCCGGAGATGGTTTCCTCACGCCCGGAATGAGATGTCTGAATAACCAACGCTAGCATGACCTGGATCATTTTAAAGCTGGAATGATTTGCGAAAGTTTCCCTGTTTGGCAATGTCTTCTGGCGGATTATTCCTGTATGGTGGATCTTCTCGCGATTCTTCCGGATGGTGTTTGTGTGAAGCATTTTTCACCCCATTTGAGGGGGACTTTAAGGGGCAGTTCTACCATACACAGACCCTTCCTTCCATTCAGATTAAAAACGCTGTGATTTGCGCACAGTTTGTTGATTTTACTGGCAACACCATTGTTAAGTGGGTGGCATCTGGGGTTTTCTCCGTTTGGGGAGAGAGGTTGGAGTCATCTCGCCGCCCCATTTCGTCCTTCCTATTACAATTGAACCGTCTAAGCCTCGCCTCTGCCACGAAGAACGGTTTTTAAATTTATGGATTGGAGATCTTCGATTCAAATTAGATCACCGGGTGCATTTGCCCAGCATGTTTTGCCTGAGCATTTCCAGACTACCTTTCAAGACAAGAGTGGATGTCAGCATGTTCGGCTACATCCGTAGTCGGAGACGTACTTTGGACTCGAGCCGAATAATTTCTTTTTTGTGTTTCATATGCTCCCCTTTGGTTGGAAGGCAGGCACCTTCATTTACCACAACTACCGGTAAGTTCTAGTCTAATAATTGAAATGATATGTGTGGAGAGGAGCACACAGAAAAAAATTCTGAGTTCCAGATGGGAATTGAACCCACGACCTTCAGTACACTAGTCAGATGCTCTAACCACTGAGCCACTGAAAACTCAGTGGTGAGCAAGTCAATTATGGGCTGACATAACTACCGCATTGCGCAGTCACACGTCAAGTGAATACACAATATTAACTGCATTGCGCAGTCAAGTTCTAGTTGTCTCACATACCAATCGCTCCCATGGAGTTCCCGTCACAATATATTGACGACTGTCATGTGGGACAGCTCTTAGCCACCCCGGCACGTTTTGTCATTGTTCCACGTGCTCAGAGAGCTGAGGCTGCAACTTACATTGTGCGTTATAATCTAATCGAAGCTGACTATTTCACTCATGTTGACAAGTCACAGTTTGTTTCTTCTACGGTGGTTTTTTTTGGATTTTCTGTGCGATTCTATGTGCCAAGTGTTTCTAATTCCCCTGGATAAGACCAAGTTTGCAACCTCGCAGGAGAGCATTTTGTCATCCGCTAGTGTCAGTCTCAAAACACTGCAACCAGCCCAGCTTATGAGTTCTTCCAACACCACTGCTAAAGTCCAAGGAGGACTCTGCTTTGATGTCGCGTATTGGTATTTTTTGACGATTGGAATTCAATAGGGCACCATTTCGGTCTTCACTCCTTCGACCTCATGGCGTTAAGACACTAATTGTTGAAGGGATCCTTCTAGCCTAATGCTTCCTTGTTATTCTCCTTGGCCTACTCCAGCCTCTAACGGGTTAAACCCCTTTGTGCAGCTCATTCCATTGGACCGCAACATTTACGCTTTTCTGCCATTTGTTTTACTCAGGCTGCTATTGAGGTATTTTTTGGATCAGGAATTCCAAGGGGCCCTTAACCTGGTGGTCCCTGATTTGTGTCCAAGGCATTTTTGGTAGGCTCTCCCCTTAGTCTGTCGCAGTCAATCGCCGTTTGCTTTGCAGGAAGGGCGATGATACTGTGTTGCTTTTTTCCTCTCACTCCACGCATGTCTGGTCAGCAGGACGCCTTTAGTGGGACTTGTGGGCTATCATCTTCTGCTTGGTTCTGCGATGTTCGAAAGCAGCCCATTTTTGTGGTTCATGCATATCCAGATGACGCAGATGCCATCTTTTGTCAAGCCAGTGGGGTACCCACCCTGCTCTTGGTGCCCGCTGTTGCCCTCGGCCGGTGTCCCCTGGATGAAAAGGTTTAGGTCTTCGTTTGAATGTCGGTCCTATCAATGTCAGAAGACAGCCCTTGAGCATTAATTATCTAAGTTTCTTAACGTCAAGGTTTCCCCGCATAAAACAATAGGGAATTTAAGCAATGACTAAGGAAGCATCTAGTGTATTCACGTTCTTTCAATATTTACAACGATTTTCAGTTCCATTCCCTTAATTTGTGAAATGTGAGTAAACTCTCCTGAAGGTGAATTCCTAACAACCATCACCAAGTCCATAAAAACGTGAAATTATGCATTTTCACGTGTTGGTCTTGCAGTGACAAGGAAAAATGTACCAAAAGAAAGTGATGCATGGGTGAAGTTGTTGTGTCGCATGAATCGAGGAAAAATAAAAAAATCCAGCAAGACTTTCTCCCCCATGAGTACTTTAAAGTTTGTCTTGATTTTAACTAAAATAAGAGAATTGCTTCTTGTTTCATCATGGAGGAGGAATTTCTAGTTCTTTACGAAGAATATCAGCCTGCCAACATGAATTTCCCACACTCCTTGTATGGCGAGTTTGATCTTGATGACATGGAAGATGATGAATGTTTTGTGGAGTTTCGAGTTAGAAAAGAGATTTGGCGACCCCTGCAAAAGCTTTAGAAATACCGGCTTTCATTGTCAACAGCAAAGCAAGATAAATTGTATGGAGGGTTCGTTTATTCCTCTGAGATGGTTTGCGTATCCCTGTCGCTACTCAGACATGCTTCCGCGTTTCAAAAGGTCTGTTCCAGTGCTAAGTATGGCTACCAATACATTTCTGGACTAGATATGTGACACTCACAAACATTTAGTAACTGGGTGAAACCCACATTTGATAAGTCCTCAGACACTCGGAGTTTATGCACAGGCCACTGCAAGAAAAGAATCCCCACTTCAAAATTGCTTTGGTTTTATAGATGGAACTGTCTGCCCCATTTGCAGACCTTGAAGACACCAGCGTGTTCTATACAATGGCCGTAAACAGGTACATTCCCTTAAATACCAGGCGATTGCTTTACTTAATGGGCTCATAGGAATGTATGGACCTGTGGGTATGTTGTCATTATTTTTTTTCCTAGTGGCTATTCATACGGGACCCGTACATCCACTTGTATTTGCTATTCATACGGGATTCTGACTAAACTTACATAGGGTTACACAGGGTTACGGTTGTTGCTATATGAATGAAAATAAAACTCTACCTAGCAGCGAGTATTCCGTGGTAGAGTGGTTAGGCTACGAACTACGGATTCTACACCCCGGGATCGATTCTCCATCGTACCATATCGCATTTATTTTCCTTTTAGAAATTGCCACTGAATGTTTTTCCCTTAAAAATTGAACGGCGGTTCAAGGAAATTAAATGACCAGAAATTTCACATAAACTTCGGTGTACAGGTCCCGTACGAATAGCCACTGGGTTTTGTTTTTTGGCTATAAACAGCAGTACTTTCCGTTAAAACGGAAACTGATAATAGTGTCAACTCTTGAAGCTAAGTTGTTGAGCCTTTTCTTTTTTCCATCATTTGCGTTTGTGATCGACGTCGACTGCAAGATTTCCCGCGCAACTTTCTCAGTTCATGTATACATAGACTACACACTGACAATTTTTATCCTCAAGACGTCATATATCAACTTCAAGACCACATCATTTGTGAAACTGTTAAGTTAATATTTGTGCAGTCAGCTTACTTATATATTTGTATAGATAGATTTTACGAAACCTAATAATTAACAGCTCATGCAGTTCGTGTGAATGACGTACACCTGCCCCCCCCCCCCAACCCTGCCCACACGCCAGCAAAGACAAAGTTGCAGGGGGATTTAGTAGCCTTTTAACAGTTGCAGGGCATCAGATAATTGACTGCTTCAGTAGGAGTGATCTCACTTTGCCGAGATTAAATATCTTTCAAGGCATTGTAACAGCAGGGATAGCAAATTCTCACAACCATGACAAGTGTAAACAAAATTCTTTTATTAAATTTAGCAGCTGCAAAATGTAATTATTGCAGAAAAGGGAATATGTATTTTTCTGTTCAGAGCTAAAGAAATATTCACTAAGTTGTAGTTCTACTCCCATGTCAGTTTACTTAACATGGTCGACACTAAGTCCTAGCAGTTCCTTTGAAGATGCCCCGGTTGACTCTCAGATGGCTGACCATAAACCACCCCTACTTAAAAGAACCAGACCTAGAGAGTACTGTTTAATACGACCCAACAATTAAAGAAGGACTCTCCTTGGCAAGGATTTCAAGATACCTTTCTGATGCTTTTGAAAAGTGCACTAAGATGAACAGCTTTCTTGATGATGTCCCATAAGGCAGTTGACCAGGAACTGTGTCGCCTACCTAAAAGCATTCAGGAGAGCATCTCAAAAGGGAGTATTTAACAGAAGCTGCAAAATGATTATCCAAGGAAGTGCCTGTTATGAGAGATGAGAAGTCGCCTTTATGGCCAGGAGAAATTGCATTTGAGTACTGGGCAAGTTCTTTTATCTAATAATTTTAGTTTACATGAAAGCTGCTCGAGAAACATCTTATATATAATATTTTGAGGTGGAACAAAACAATATCTAGCATCCCACGCAGTGTCTCCCGGACACAGCGAACCAAAAGCAACTACTATTTTTCTTATAGAAGTCGGCTGCAATTACTTTTCCGTAAACTGAACTACCTAAATAAAGATTCTAACGGCCTCTTGTTCATATCTTCAGTTACTGTACTTAGAACAGCTGCCTTACACCGTAAATCCTCTATTAAGCCCCTCAACCCTCTCTCTTTAAAGCATCTCTCCCCCACCTTTAGTTTTGCAGTTGAACTGTATTGAGATTGTATTAAATAACGTTATTTATAAAAACTAACACTTTGTTTAAAGCATGGTACAATTTGTTATAAAATCACTCGAGTCTCGTATTTTTTCCTTTTTTCTTAAAGCTCTGGGTTTGACCGTAAATAGATAAGCCTCCCTCCACATCTGGCTCTCTTTAAACGTTCACGGAAAAAAAAAACCACCTAAAGGGTTCTTCATAGAGGATTTATGGTACTTTACATTGTTTTGACACCCTTGGCATGCAATGTTACTTGCAAGAAAACTTCCTATACCGTGGTTTATGAATGAACGTTTCTTTCTCTTCACATGATTGTTTTCCAACATAAGAGCTCCTCCAAAAGGCTTTTAAAGAAATCCTATTCAAATGAGAAAAATTCAAGAAAAAGGCCATTCCCCCTGAAGCCTCGGTTGATCATATGAACATGACACGTATATACAAGTACATATCCACCTGACGTCAATAATTGTCAACAGCTGATCTAATCATCTGCACCGTACAATTCAAAGAGCATTATTCCTAAAGATTTAAAATTCTGAAGCAACCATTAATGTTAACTGATGGGTGTTGATGCCCTTTATTCATCATGAATGGCATTTACTCCCGGGAAAAGCTCTAGGTATCTTTGACAAGAACTCCGTCACGGACCGCCATAGACAACCCGACCTGATTCATGATACTGACCTTTTGTGTTCTGATTTTAGTGGGTTGTAACCTTGTCTGAAATCTGCTGTACCATCCCTTTAGTCCTGCTCCTAATTCACTTCTCCCAAATCTCCCGATTTTATGATCACTATTATTTTGAACGATGACCTCATGTAAGAATCTTATCAAGTTATTTGAGATGCACTCTCAAGATTGAGGCATCAATCTATTACGAAACCTGCCCACTATAAAACTGAAGTGATAGCATGCGTGCATCGCTTCTTTTGCAATACTTCCCCTTTCACGGACCACCGTAGACAACCCGACCTGATTCATGATACTGACCTTTTGGGCTTTGATTTTAGTGGGTTGTAACCTTGTCTCAAATCTGCTGTACCATCCGGTTAGCCCTGCTCCTAATTCACTTCTCCCCGAAAGTTACGATTTCATGATCACTACTATTTTGAACGATGACCTCATGTAAGAATCTTCTCAAGTTATTTGAGATGCACTCTCAAGATTGAGGCATCAATCTATTACGAAACCTGCCCACTATAAAACTTGATAAAGTGATAACACGCGTGCATCGCTTCTTTTGCAATACTACCCCTTGGGACACAAGTACAAAAAAAAATCATCAACCCGTATTTAAATGCCCATCGCAGTAGTTATGAAAAACTCCTTGGAGGACAAAAGAGAGACCACAGGAGCAAGAGAGAAGAGAGAGAACCAGGCAAGCACTGCGCGGTTATGTTTTGTAACAACACCAACAGAGACGGAGTAAGTCTCCACCAGTTTCCCACCGATGAACCCTTTTGGCGCCAGTGGATAGCTTTTGTCTTAGCAAAGAGGGATGATGGCTGGACGCCGGGATCTGGTAATATTTGCAGTTCACATTTTATGCCAGACTGTTATGAAGGAATGGATGCAAAACTCACAGGGTTTGCTAAGAAGGCTTATCTGAAGAAGACAGCCATCCCCACAATTCAGGCCAATCCCACCCCTGGACAAATTCAGGAAGCGCTTTCACTTAAGAAAAAAACGTACATCTGCGGCAATGCAGGGTGATTCAAAGTGGCAAGTTCAACAAAAGGGGGATATAACACCAAAAAGTCATCCAAATAGATCCAGTTGAGCCTTGTCTAAACTTACCACTAAACGTTGTGTTTCTTGTTTAGATAGCTCGGCATGAATAAAAAGTTTCTAAATAATCTAAATCTTTTACGGGATCATAATAAAAAAGGCGACAATGTGCCTATATGATACAATGATACAATTTACTGAAATCAGGCAAAAGGTTATGGCGGAACACACCAACAAAAAACTGCTCTCGTTTACAAAGTTAATGACTCGAGTTTTTTATTTCTTTAAAAACAAAACATTCTTTGGTTATTACGGCTAGTGGTGGATTATAAGAAGACGCGGAAAAAAGAAAAGACCACTGATAAAGTACCAGGACCATCCAAAAGTGACAACAGACAACCAACAAGTAACAATCAACCTGCAGTTTCCCAAACCACGGATCTTGCACAACCCTCAACAAGTGCATCTGGTGACACTTCGTGTTCAGAGACTGGTGCAGAGCAAGAAGAACGAAGTCAGGCTCGGGAGTTTCAAACAGCTAACAAGGGAACTCACAAAGGACTTTGCCGCCCAATCTGTCGCAGCAAAGGTAGATTTTAGTCTTGATTATATAGTGAAAAATAAACGTGTTTACAAAGGGTTTAGCCATCTTTTCAAACATTCTTTGCAATGAGACTATTCTTGGTGATGAAGGTTTTTAATCATAGGTACCCAGATTTCTCCACAGGCCAACACAACGGTGAAAAAGGGGACTCAGTGCTACATAGCAAAACTTCCTCCATTAAAACTGCTCTCAATTTTATGTAAGGAGGCAGAAAATCAAACAGATTATGCACCTACGCCGGAGCTAACCGCGTCCTTTGAAGACGAGTTGTTTGAAGACCTTGACGTTGATGATGAAAGTACAATCCTTACTTAACATCCAAGGAAGATGAAGACGAAGGTGGTAGTAGAGATGAAAAAGAATCTGGAAAGTGAGAACGGTAAAAAAAGTAAAAGACAAGCCGTTGAAGAGTATGCATAAGCTGCAGTAACAACGGCTTGATTTAATCTCCGCACCACTCTGTATCTTTCCTTTTTAACATATCTGCTCAAAGGAACAACTATAACCCCTATTTCTATAGTCTCCGTTTACGATACTGAATGTTTCATTCTTGTTATTGCTAATATAATGCAGATCTATTAGAGAAACGCAAAAGTTGAAGCCACATAAGGAAAGGAAATGTATTGTCTTTGAAACAAATCTGTTGAGCTTGTTTGCTTGTTGCCCCATCTGTGCTGGCCACGCAGAGGCTAAAATCTCGAAAGAAATCAGCACCATGAGTCAGGTTCAGCAATGTGTGGTGCAGCAAGCCATTTTCTAAAGGAAAGATGCCAGTTGGGAACTTGTTACTTTCCTCTTCGATTCTTTTGACAGGTAAGTCTCTCCATGGTGTTTTCTTTTTTAGGTTGCGTTCTAGGCGTGGTCCGTTGAAGACTTAAAAGACAGGAAATGTGGCTACTTAATGGTCTTGAACAAAATGAACAGAATATGACAAATCTGTAACTGGTTCCTGCAGGAGAAAGTTAAATAGAGTGAAGGTCGCTGTATTTGTTTTCTTTTGTCGCAGGAAATTCTGCAAATAAACCTTCTGGATGTTTAACATTATGAACGTGGCGTGCATATCACAGAGCACATACCACCGTCACATCAAATCGTACGTAAATCCCACCATTATACAGCAGTGGAAAGCACATCAACAGCATCTCTTTAATAGTCTTAGCAGTCAGGATAACGCACTGGTTATGGCTGGCGATGGAAGGAATATCAATGTTTTTTCTCATTTCATTACGTTTTATTATTGTTTCATTTCATTACGAGCGGGTTCGCACAAATAAAATGAATCCTGTTGACTTTTCAGTTGTCGAGGAAATGCTATCGTTTGAAATGTCACCATTCGAAGAAAAAATACCATTGGGGCAAAGGGATGTTGCCAGTGATGTGAAGTTTTCGCACTTTTTGTTGGAAGAAATTATTGACATTGTTTTGACATTAGCTTATTGTTTTCAAGTTGTTGATAAAATGTGGTTGTTTGAACGAATGGAAAAACTAGAGCAGCGTGGACAGAAAATAGCTTCTGAGACTTTTTCAAGAACGGAATGTAAATAGAAATGTTATGGCGCTCATGACTGACTATATGACTATTGCACGAGCAGTGTGCGTTAGGCAACAATTGAATAGAGTTTTATCTTTGTTTTTAGCATTTCATGGACCCTCGAGGCTTGAAGTAAAGAAGGAGAAAGAGGATAGTTTTTCAGTATTTACAGCTTTGCGTCAATTGGGTCAAGAAACTGAATATGAGTCCTGTTTTCAAGTGTCTAATTTTTGGCGTATTACTAGGATGCTATTAACACACCAGAATAAGCATAAATTTATTGTGTTTGAGGATGACATAGAATACACTCTTTTGCACATGTGATATTTGCGTTGATAACGTGATTGAATTTAAAAAATGATGAACTTTGGAATAAATGGGTCAGTGTCATTTTACTTGGGCGGGGCTAATTATAGTATTCAAAAATGGGAGTGAAATAGGGTTTGCAGTAATCATGGAAGAGAAAGTAGTACACTCCCTTGTTTGGATCTGCACTGAATCGATGTCATGGGAGACGAAAGAAAAAATACTTCACAAGTTTTGTTTTAAACATCCCATTTTTCATGAAGTTGCTTTGTACGTGGCTGAAACGAAAACCCAGTCGGGGTTGGTGCTTAAAGTTAGTCAAAAATTACCATGGAATCATGCCCGAAAGATTGACTTTGAATGTCGTTGGGCAAAATGGAAGCTGAAACACCTCCCATTCCGTTTGACGAGTAGTTGGGCGAAAAGAAAGCCGAGACACCTCCCATTCCATTTGATGAGTGTCTGAGCGAAATGGAAACTCAAACTGATGTTATTTCATCCCTTGCTCCTTTTGGTGGCATGATGGAAGAGCAAACAGACTCATTGTGGTCGACGATTGATTTGAATAAAGAAGTAGGTAATGGCTGTTCCGAGGAAGATGCATTGCAGGTGTTTGTCAATAAATTGCGCACATATGTATTTTTTACAAATCATTTAATAAAATTACTGAACACAACTAACTTGACTTTGGCTTACATCACTTTTTTCACAATACCTTCCGTGCGGGTTTTACGCCCAGGTAATTTGTTGATTCAAGCAATCATGGTACGATCAGCCTTGTGCTTGTCCTTTAAGTGGCGGGCTTTACTGTAGTCGATGTCATGCTGCTTGGCAATTCTGTCCAATCGATTGATGCCTGGATCTCCACGCGCCACACAATTTTTTAACTTGGTGCCTGGCCCCACGTACTGATATCCTGGCCAATGAAACTCTGTCCCTGTCTTTTCCAACATTTTTTGTACGTCCAACTTGCCCCATTGCTGACACGACCTGCGCTTGGTTCCTGCACCAGTGCGTCCCCTTTTTGCTTTTTTCTCCATTGGGGATTGAATTTTTTCCACAACTGTTTGGCTGCTTTTTTGGCCCCTTGTTTGGCTCCTTGACTTGCTGCTTGTTTGAAGGTGTGTTTTTTCATGCCCTTTAAGAGTTCGTTTGGCTGGGCGTACTGCTTTGTCCCTTCTTCGTTTGGCTTCTTCCAATTGCTTCTCTAATGTCCAAGGATAACCGCCTGGTAACATTCAAAACCCTGTCAATGGAGTGTCTGGCAACTGCCACTACTTTTTTGCTTTTCGAGTTCAGGGAGTTACCACTGGTGTGGGAATTCTTGAACGTTTCGGCAGTCTGCAGTTCGGGGGTGTTTTTATAGGCGATTGTCCTGAGGCTGCATTTTGTACCAATTGAGCCATCATATGATTGAGAGGACTGGCTCGACCATCTTCCGTGGCTGCGTTTGCACCAGGACTTTCCAAGTTGCAAATGGTTGACGTACGCACTTGACCCACTGTTGCAATTCATGCCCCAATGCTTTGAGTTGAGGTTCCTTTCACGCGTCGGGTTCATGACTTGTCAACAGCACCTCATGCCTAGCAGCCAAATCAGCAGCCTTGTTTAACCGCCCATCCTCCACCAATTCCTGTTTGTACTTGTCTTTCAATCGCACAAAGGCAGGAAAATCAGACACTCCTGTGCTCGTCAACTCACTCATGACCACGTTTGACGTTTTACTCACACTTCAAGCATCTTTTATAACAACATCCCAACTCTTTCCACAAACTCCCACCCGTCTGTTCCATCATCCATTTGCGTCTTTTTTTTTTCAACAAATTGCAAGGATTGGCCATTTGTCACAATACCTGGGCGTGTGGGCGTAACACCTTGCCTGTGTTTCGACTACGTGGTACAACCTCTTTGAGTGTTCATGACCAGTTCACTAACGGCATTGATTTGATCAGCATTGGTCAGTCTCAATAATTTGTTTCCAACCCTATTCATGACAACCCATTTGATTTGAATTCCTAATAGACCCCTATTCAATTACTTTTGGTTTTTACGGAATTCACTAATGAATTGATATGTCCTGCTATTCAAACGGTTGAATGAAAAAGCCCACCCTTTATTTGTAAATAACACCACGCTAACGCCGTTATTATAACGGTTAATTTTTAACATGAGAAGCATGTCGTATTATTTACAGAAAAAACAGCTTACCTATTAAGCTATTTCCTTGAAAGATTTTCCAGAAGCGTGCGACTACTTTCACTTACTACACGATGAAATTCAAAGAATTATTTATCAGTGCATGATTGTTGCCTTTTTGTACTGCACACCAATTCATCATACCTCCTCCAATGACTTTGAACTCAGCTGCCTGTTCCCCTACAGCATTGGGTGCCATTTCTCTGAAATAAAACAAAGAACCAGGTATTGCGAGCACAGCCATCTTGACTACTACCCTCTAGAAGTAAACCACGACCGGTGTGGAGCTTAAAAACCAACATTTTTTCATAAAAGTTAATAATTCAAAACAGATAACAACAACGACAA